CGTTCGAGCGAAAATATCATAAGGCATCTTGTCAGAACAAAGAAAGTTTTTTTGAGGAGAATACGATGGAAAATGTATGTAGGAAAATAACTGTTATATGGTACATTGATTTGGACTTTAACCTATAAATCGCATTAGGTGGATATAATGTAAGAACACCTCAGCGTTGCTGAGTTCGAATTTTCTTACGTTCGATTCTCTCTGCCGTTCCATTCCATTTCATTCAACAACATCATCATTAAGAGCACTTGAGTAAATCTTATCGTTATTTTAACCAATGATACAAATAACTGGAATCTCCTCACAAAAGGCATAATAAAGAAAACCAGGCGTTTTCAAATATGCTGTAAAATTCACACCTGTTTGTGATACTTCGGTAAGGATGATTTTACTTTCGTTCTCACTTGCATAAATGTAATTGGAGCACTGCAAAAAATATTCCATCAATTTTCAATCATCACCCATTCCTTAGTTTGTTGAAGCTTTATTTGTGAGTGATGTTTCATGTGTGCATGTAACTTGTTCATGGCATGATCTGCTGGCCACCGGGAGAACTCAACCCGATCATTATTCACCCTCCCCCACCCCTCTGTGTGATCTCTCTTGCCTGCTTTCGGGCACTGGAACAAACTGAGTAAGCGGCCACTAGGTTGGGACTTCCAGGGAGCCGTGTTATCGTTCAAAGATCTAATGTGCCTGAGCATGCGTGCTTCCTTGCGGTTTCGGGGTTGTTCAAATGACGACGACGACGAAATTACTGTTAACGGTGAAGGCGGGGAAGGGGAGGCAGCGAGAAACTGGAAGTCCCAATCCTTGTGCCACGCCCGTCCTTCCTCCCCACACCGAGTTTGCGTTCAAGAATTGTTGCTAACTGAAGTCAGGTTTCAACCGTCCCGGTTGTACACTCACATATATACCAGTCAACTGCATCAACCATCAGCCACAGTGATGTCCACCCACAACTGGTGGCCGACCAACACACGCTGCTCGTCACTCAAAGCCCCACGACCAGATGCATTTCACGCGAGTAACCGAACCGAAACACTGACCGAGTCGTGAGATTCTCGCATAAAATGATGGCTGGTGTAAATCATTCACGTACGTACAAAGCAGAATTGCGTAGAATTTTACGGTCATCATCCTAATCAGTGATCCACGGTACTACAGAAGTGCTGAGTGATTTAATGCAGTACCTGTCCGACAGCGAACGAAACACGAGGAGGATAATGACAGTAGTAAATTGGTATCTATCACGTTCGAGATGGAAATGAAAATTGCTGCCCGATCACGTGGTGGAATTGGCGGTAGGACAGATTGGAAGCAGACTGCCAACACAAATTACCTATCGAAAATTTACTGGTCGTTTTCGCGAACAGGATTTCCTGATGAGTGGGAAAGTAAACGAATGGGAAATGGTTGGTTGCATGAAAGCGTATGGTTAATGGTAGTTTAAGCGAACTAAAACTGACTAGCACTGTCATAGTATGTTCTTTGTGCCTTCCGGTGGTATCGCAAACGTTATTCGGGACACCGATTAGTGATCTCCCCACACCGACATGTATATCCGAATTAGAACTGCCACAAACCAATACCCTAATCTCGCAAAATTTTGTATCTTTATGATATAGTCCCGGGGGATCCAACTTCCCGCGACATTTAACAAGAACTACTTGGAAGCTACAGCTATTGACTGATTGCGCATTTATTCGCTACAGTTAATGAGTCAGAAGTGAAGAATGTTAACCAGTGCGGATCAAGAATTTTCGGCAATGCGATAATTATTCACGGATTTCCTCCTATGATAATCCCAATCTGGACCTTTATTTCCGCAGTTCTTGCGTCCTTCAGATTCGCATGGTACCTGTTGAAAGCCGAAGTTGAACGACGAGTTCAGTTGCCTAGGTTTTTATTTGACTAAACAATATTCAGACTTTATCTTCACATACAGTCCTCAGATCATCCAGCCAATCAAGCACTCAGGTAGTACGAGACTCGAGTTCCGCTCCTGTTAGAGCTCCTCAATGGTGTATATCCAGTATCCGTCAAGGTATCTGAATACCGGACCCCTCGCACGAAACGTGTATGTTACAACTGTGCCAACTAGCATTACCGATTCAAGTTTTTCCACATGTTCCCTTCAATGATAATCAGTCAGACCTAGCGTGCAGAAGGGAAGTACAGTACAATATTTAGAAATCAAAAACCTCAGATTAAATCAAATCTTCCTTGTATCGTGTGATTGTAGTCAAATGATTGGCCAAGAAGGTCTCACTTTACGAGCAGGACGAGTGTCAGCGATGAAGAGATAACACATTTCATTACCCACCCACGATCCACAATCCCCATAAGATGAGCAAGGCTCGCTAAGGTGGATTGTCATTTTGTTCCCCATCGTGGAACCCACCAGCATAAAACGGGTGTCATTTAGTTTAATCAAACGTTAAGTATTCATTCCATGTACCTCGAAGAATGCATGTTCTGCTTGATCAAGGAGGGACAATAGGGACTTCAAGCCGTATCTAACGATTTACAAAGTCAACCTGTGCCAAAGACACTCGTGTTGAAGCTAAAATCTGTGATCTATGTGCTACAAAACATTCCTTATTTCTGGAAACTGTTGACAAATAAAACCAACGACACAGCAACAATACGAAAAGAAACCGGTGCACAGGACGCAACAGGATTCCAAGAAAGTAACCAGACGTGTTTTGAATATTCCATAGGTCATTTTTCAGCAACATTGTACAGAAATCCGCATCGATCTGGACAGTAAATCAACCCATCACAGAATTCCCGGATTGCTTTTTCATGATTAGGCTATTAGGTGACAATCCCAGAGAAGCGCACTGGAAGCATGCAGAAGTCATCCAGTTTCCATTAAATATAGAAAATTTTCTAAAATTAGGAGCATATCAGATCTCTACCAGGAAAGTTGTTTGAACAATCTTATCACAGAACTTAGCTCTAATTAAATGATTAATGTGATGTGGCAGGCATGAGGTTCTTTTCATGGCAACTTCTAAGCGGAATAGGGTATTATCAATCAATGACTGATAAACACTATATACAACTAAATGTGGAATGTATTAGAACAATCTAGATGATTCCAAAAAGATGCTTTGAAAAGATTATTTTCGGATTATTCTAAGAGATTAGGTAGCTTCAGAGTCAAAAAAGATTATATGACCCTAAATTATACGAGACATGAGAAATGAAATCGATTCTGAGTCGTAGTTTCGAGGAAATAACTTCAAAACACGGTTGCTCGTTGCACAATACGGCTGATCATGTCTGGACTGAAATAAAGAGTCTCCGAAATCCTCAATATGGTCGGGGGTGGGTGTCTAGGGTTGCGACTGGTCACCCGTCCCTTGCACCTCGCGAAATGCTCCCATACGATCAAGCGTCTCAAATAGCCTCTACTGAGGAAGTCCTACTCACTGCTTTCTCGTGGCGGACTTGTTTTGCACGAAAGTGAGAGGACGAAAAGCCGATATCTGGGACTATAACCGGGTTGATGAACAACTGGCAGCTCACCTAGAGGAGTTGGCTAGAAATCCTGATTCAAAACCAACCAAGGCGAGGCGTACGAAACACACCCACGCCTTTCCGGTTGTGGCAATGGTCACCGGCTCCATTGGGCATCGAGGTGTATTGGGCACCTTGGACGTTTGACCCCGCCGGAATGGCGTATGATCCAATGAACTGAACACCGGCTCCCAATCGATTGCGGTTTTCGCACACCGCCCCGCTGCCTTGCGGGTCAGGCTTTGGTTAGCCAAAGGTTCCGGTTGTGGATTCCCCAAGAAAATTCACCTGCCTTGGCCTGGGCAACCTGGCAGTGTTCGGCCCACTTGCAAATCGTGGAGCGTTTATCTTTTTATCAAGATTATTATACCACGATTTGTTTGGCACAGTCTGGCAAATAAGGACTGAAATAACTGTCGCAATTTGCACTCAACTCAAAATCTGTTAGACTGACCCTATTGCCTACATCCACCAAACAGCCTCCACACGAACGATCCATCATATAGTGGATCCTCCCTGGTGCGTGGTTGAATTCCCGGCAATTAACTACGAGGTTAGTTCTTGCTCAAGCTCATGTACGTGACCATCAGAACGACAGAGAAAAACAAATCAGGTAACAGAGTAGAAATCTAGATTTATAGTACAGACTGAAAAAATGAAGAAAACCCAATTTTGTACATAAATTACCCCCTCGATTTAGCAAAATCAATTTGGTGAGAAACGGGAATGAATAGACCGGAAAACCATTCGACATCGTATCGTACGTTCTTCACAATCGATGACCGGGAGGCAATAGTCATTGTGGTTTCGGCATGGGTATGTACAAAAGAATCAGAAAATCTCTCACACCCATACGCACACACATGCACACACTATACAGGCACTCAAACACGATACACACATGCAAGCAGTCGCCATGACACAAAACCAACGCAGGGAACCAGATGTAGTTCCGCATGAACAAACACAGGCTGGAGGATATAGACAAACACAGTTATGTAAGTTGGGATCACACCAAAAGTGATCTACAAAATTTGTGAATGAAAATTCATGCTAGTGAAAGACAGGTTTGCACATCCAGATCCGTCTGTGTCAGATTGGCGCTTTTGGACAAAGTGTAACCACTTTCCTCCCGGACTGGTGAAATAAAGTTGGTTTCGAAGAGGCGAGAAGCTTGAGAAGTTTAAAATTAGACCAGACAATTGAGATAAGATTGAGAGAGAAAAGCAAATATGCGGACAGACAAGTATTAAGGGAAATAAAAGAATACAATCCAGGAAGTTTGCTACGAGGAGGAAGAATGGAGACAAGACATAATGCGAAACCGATAGGATGAAAGTAGAGAACGCTGTCCGATTTGAGAGACTCGTGGGAACTTTAAAAGAGACAGTGCGGTATCTGGAAGCATCACAGCCCATGAACACAAGGGATTTGAGGTGATAGATTGATAGGGGAGGGTGGTATCCTTTGGCTCATATAGAGTGCATGCGCAGATGTTGAATCACTAAAGGCATAAGTTCAAGTCGTTGCTGAACCTCGTCTGGAAGTGTATCTGAAGTGCTGTACCTTTGCGGGCGTGTCGACTGACAAGCTACCCCGGATGAATGAGGCGGTGGAATAAAATGAATTGACCGTACTAGGGACCGGTCGTAGCTGAGTAATAATTGAGCACCATCATTGAATTGGACTTGTAATTCATCCGATGAACGCTGGTCAGCCCAACCCACGTTTGGAACGAAAACCGGCCGATTCGACGGGGAAGAAATATGGGAACATCTCGGATTGGCTGTTAAACACGATGAGATCAAACCAAGTAGGGTTGCCGGCAGATCAACTAGAGCTGATCCAATATTGACCATGCTGGAGTGTGTTTGTGAGGTCACAGCCGGAATCGAATTGGAAGCCGGAAGGCCGGTAGACTTGGGTCGTCTGCCAATAATGGCCGGAAACGAACTAAGTTGAGTCTGATCAGTGGAAGCAGATAGTAATTCTTCGATTTTTCGACACCGGTCCCGTTGCTGTAACAATATTGTATCGAGATAAATCATAGACAAAACCAACCGTGTGGTAAACAAAAACAAAAAAATATTGAGGAGAAAGTAATTGAAACCATCACATAACAAATGGTAAGTGCTATATCTCAGCTTTGTTTTGTATTCCAGTTACATGCGTCAATATATTATACCAGACACAGCAGTGTGCTACCTGGTGCGTATCCAGGTCATTTATAAGTCATATATAGGAACGATCATCAAAATTATGGCTGGTCGTGAATAAAAGGAGCTCGGTACTTTGAAAAAGCCGTTTTGGATCATCCAGAGCTGTGCTCGAGGGCGTGGACATTCGCCTTTGTTATAAAATAACATAAGAATCAGACGTCCCGTTCACGAGGCTTGTAGTGTAGGCGAATGAACTAAATCACTAACCACCGGCCTGTCTGGAACGACCCTGTACCTGAACTCACAAAAGCTAGAGGGGCAATAGTGAATAAAACGGTCAAATGGTACTGGGGCACTATTTGTAACCTTATTCTTGAGAACCGATATGGACCATTGTGGGTTATGGAGCTGACTTCTCCTGCAGCTGAAAATACTTTTGTACACATTACAGAGCTTTGATATTATTGCTGGACTAATTCTAAGAAGGCTTTAGCTAAAATATATGATCAGATCCTACTGCAATCTGCACCGGAGGCAAACTGTTTCCCAATGGCGTTCCTCTAAATCACTTAACATATCCATTCATATTCAAGGAAGGATTACTCCGAAAAGATTCCCGTTTCAGAGCTGAATGACCCTATAAAGTTTGGTTGATAAAAATGACTCCAAAATCGAATAAAAATCCCTAAAAGAACATGAACTGGGTACTCACCTCGTAAACATAATCCAGAAGCGCTCGCGTGGCCGGAGCTAATGCAGAAAGACTTCGATTGGAATCCAATGTGACAGATACGGGCTTAGATGAACCAGGATCAGATTGAGTTATTCGAATAGAACCGTCTCCTGCGCAAGCTATTCGTGTCTGATCGTCATAGAACTCAGCGAGAAAGTCAGCCTGTGGACCGTTTTCCATAAGCATGCACTTTGCTCGTTGAGTGTACATGGTAATTTTAGGTGTATGGGCGCGAACCATAGCCACAAACCTGCATCGAAAGGAAAAAGTAGAGTCAGAGGGCGATCATTGGTATGGTAAAAAGATGAGCGCAACTCGGAGGAGTTAAACTGCATGATTAACGAACCCAGAATAGATTCGAACAAGTGTGAATTAGAAAACTGCGAAAAGTATCGGTAAAGTACCTTAATATTCTGGTGAAACAAATCTCATTAAATCTATATATGATCATCAACCAGAAACAAGCAATTCGCTAACAAGATACAGAGCTGAGTGAGGGAAACTAGTAAGTGGTGTATGTTCTTCAAGAGAGATAAACATAAATTTTAGTTTGTTTCTCGGTAATGGAACTATCGTTTGCAAACGTTCAACGACAGCATGATTTGTCTCATTCTTGTGTGAATGAAACCCGAAAGCACTACCGTTTTAACTCAGAATATCCATTCGTGTTTTTAACGGAAATTTGGCATATTCAATATTTTGATCTAAACGATTTAGATATGTCCTAATGCGTCCCGAAGCACGTGATCACTTGTGATTAGACAAATCATTCAGCTGTTATCCGCTAGATCAAAGAAATAAAATAAAAACAAGTATTATTCTGTTCCTGTCGGTTAGAGTGGGAAACAGGTGGTTTTCTGATCCATTCGAGTGTGCGAAAGCAGCCGATTTGAAGCAATGAAGATATCAGAATGTGCTTATTGTTATTTTATATTTGTGCAGTGTACCTAATTCCAAACTTTTCAATCTACATCTGCTCCATTAATCAACTAAATGGGTAGCCAGGTCAGTTCAGTTAGAGTTCTTACAACCATTAACCATGCACTTTCGTGCGCCAGTTCTGGTTGCTGTTCCATGGTTACTCACTTAAATGAAGTATATGGAAGATTGGAATGTTCAAATCACGATAATGATAAGTTGAGGGTTGTGAAAACAAAAACTAAACTTGCAAACAAATGAGTAAGCACGTAACGCGACACTTGACAATGTCGACTGAACAAGCGAATCAATCCATTTTACCACAATATTCCATTAAATAACTTACTTGGATACAAACTGGTACTTTTTCCAATACTTCTCCGGCAATGTATCCAATGAGAATAAAGATACATGGTCTCCTGGTCGGGCCCGAGGTGGTCCACCGCATTGGTCCACGGAAACGGGAGGTTCTGACGACGGAGAAGCCTCAAACAAACCTCGTGTATCTAATGCCACACCGTGATTTGCTGTTCCTGGCAGATAGACTACAATCTGGGTACCTGTGCGATCGACTCCCATCACTTCAACGACGACCTGTTGCCGATCCCCCTCCGAGGAAGACAAATCATCGGATTTGGGTTTTCCAGGGCCCCCACGAAGAAATTCAACACAGACTGACTCGTCGTCTAACAAATTGATTACTGCTAATTTGGTATACGTTCTCATTGGACGTAAACGCCGACAATTTAGCGGGCTTGGTCTGCGTTCATTCGGTTTTCCGGTAGAACCGGTACGAGAGCGAACCCCAACAGGTCTTCGACATGAATCACGTGAACTGGGCCGTGGCAGATCAGGCTTCGGTTGTACCGTGACTGTCTCAGTTGCGCCGGTGGGACGAGACCAGGAGGATAAGGAAAGGCCCGACAAACTGGTTAGACCGCGATTCGGATTTTGGGTGGGAGGACACGGGGGGAGTGGATCACGTGTAGCAGGATTTCGGGAGCAACTGTCCTGGTGTGATTCCCCATGGCTAAAAGGGCCAGTGCGAGGAAGCGTGTTGCACTCAATCTTCGTAGACCTCAGAGGAGCTGGATCCAAGGAACCATTTTTATCAGATAGAGAAGATCGACGAGGAAACGTTTGAAAATAGGGGGTGCTGGACGACTGGCACTGTGCCTCAGAGAGAGCTGCCGATAAGAGGCCCAGCGACGGTCTAGAATGCTGATCAGCTGAAGTTACTGACTTAGCAGCAGAGCTGCGAGTGAGATTATTTGTCAAACAGCCTAGAGGAGTTCGAGCCATTGAATCAATTCCGCTATCATTTGACGTTTCCTGAAAGGGATGATAAAAATCGATATTAAAGGGGAGATTGGGAACAAATCTGCAACAGTTACTCGACAAACGAGTATCACTTCAAATTTTGGTGTGCACGCTCTCTGCGACTAAAAACGACTCATTTCCCAGGGTTAAGGATAAGGAAGCCTGATTCTTTATTCTGGCTAAACTTGTCTTCATGATTTCGGAATAACACGGCAAGCATAACTAAAATGGAATTATGAACCCGCGTGAAACAAATACTAAACTTTATGTTACGGGTAGAGGTATAAATACATCAAGAGAAAATGATGACAGAAGTATCTCAGGAAGGGACCGACACTGCCCAAGTTATAATCCTAAGTATGGGAGAAGCGTGGAGTGAGGTTATGTGACATAGTATTGAAAAAGTATTTAATAATTAATTATAGACTGTATTAGTAACGCACACGACGCATCCTAATTTTCGTTGAGAGCTGAAGAATATAGAATGAGGACGGCAGTTGAGTAGGAGGGAGAGTAAACATGAACGAATTCAGTGGATAACACTTCCACCAGACACAAGGTGACCTACCATAACGCGAGGATTGATCGCCTTCTTTAACATGAAAGGATGTTGCGCAATTGCGCGCAGTTTGATTCGCTCCTGAGGGTGACGTTTGAGTAGGCAACCAATTAGATCAGTGGCCTCAGGGGATAAGGAAGCGGGTAGTTCATAATCCACAGCCAAAACACGATTTAAAGTAGAGCGAACCTCACGAGTGTCAAATGGAGGGCGACCGACAATGAGTGTGTAGAACATGCAACCGAGGGACCAAACATCAGTTTCCAAACCTTGCGGACCATGACTGGCCACTTCGCTGTAAGTGACAAAAAATGAGGAGTGAAGAGGGAAAAATGAAATGATTATATAACGGAAATACATAAATGACATCCCACGAATATCGATGATGGTGTGGATACTTACGGAGAAATATAGTTCGGTGTGCCACACATAGTTTTATGGTCCTCGCCTGGTTCAATCTTAGTAGCCAGTCCAAAATCGGCAATTTTCTACGAAAAGGAAAACGTAATTAAAAGTAATGAGCCTGGTAAAATATAAGATTAAACTTCATCAAGACATTAAAACACAATGCCAGGAAAGCACTTAGGAGAGTGGCGCATTAAAGGCGTGGTGTGCATGTAACTCAGAGGACCGTGGATGGAAACCACATTCTGCTATGGTTTTCGTCCATGGTGGGATGAGCAGCGGTGGCGGGTCACTTTTGCAAGCAGCAGCCACAAGCGCCTCAAAGGTCAGATTGCGAGTTAAGTATAGGCTCTTTTCATTTTAACAATACACAAGAACACGGAATGAAACTTCAAAGGAAATGATCCAATTGGGTGAATTGTAATTTAAGCAAACATAAGAACCAAGGAGTATTGCCCCATGAGGAAACTAATACTGTTGACGATCATCCATTTCGCATGACTGGCTTGAGTGGACAGGATACTTATATCAAGTTCTTGTTTTAAATCGTCACGAATGCAAAAAAACATTGCACTCAATTTGAGACTTACCACTTTCATATCCTTGGTTAGAAGCAGATTGGCCAAAGTCAAATCACGATGCAGAATATTGTGCGAATGAAGATATAATAGGCCACTGATCAACTGTTTCAGGTAATGACGAGCTACCAGGAATTATGCGTGAAACGAATGAAACAGAAAAGGTGTAAATAAAAGATCTCTCACACACGCAAACATGAAAGGATTCTTTCCAGCAAGGGAAAAACGAAGTATCATTTAAATATACTTGAGAACTCCTTGACAGACAGTTCAAAACTATTCATTTCACTTTTTATTCCCCTTATCTCTTTGTGTTTTGTGCTTTCCGAATGCAGGTTTGACTGAATGGGTCGAGACTGGTGCCTAAGTCTGAAGAATGGTCTGCCGACATCAATAATAATTCAGCACACACACACACACATCGGTACTCTACTAACAAGTAACTTAACTGAAAGAAAACATGAGACCATCTACGATACTAATTTGTCATTAGGATAACAAAACTTACCGACATCTTCACTAACCGGACCATTCTGTCGAATGTAAGTCTGCAACTCGCCATTATGGCAAATTTCGAGGACCAAGTAAACGTAATTTGCGTCCTCGAAGCACGTGTAAAGCTAGAAACAATATAAAGCGAGAAACGTATAAATTATTTAAAATTCGAGAATTTTCACGATTCGATATAACAGTATAAAAATGAAAAATGAAAACCGAAATCGAATGGTTTTTCACAACTCATTGACCCCAATTAAAAATAATTGAATTTCCTCCAACCCCCAAAAATATGAGGAACAAACCTCGAGGATTGAAGGATGCTTCAATCGACTGTGAATTTCCACTTCACGGCGCACGCGATTTGCAAGTCCATGCTGAAGCATACCCTTTTTATCGATCTAAAAATGGATTGAAGGTAATTTAGACGATAAATTATCGGAATTTGTTGAGGGATGTAACGCATATACGAGTAAAAGCAAATTTCACATTGACCTACTAAGTAATTAGTGAGTAGCATGACCATAAATCGATCTTTAGACAATCCATCATGATTGGTGCAACAACTCTATAGCATTCTTGTAAAGCGTGTAGAACCTCCCCGATATAAGTGGCTGGTGGATGAATGAGCGTCGTCTTACAGCAAGTTTCATTTTAGAGTAGCACGGAACAAATTTGCGGTGAATGTAAAGCACAAACCGCATTTTAAAACAACTGGAATAATGATAGTTTCGTACGGTGTTAGAAATGAGGGGTTTCGTCATCGTCATTATAACTATCCGTATATAAATATCCATCTGTATTCCTAAAGAAACGGTGCCTAAATAACAATTTGCCATTTCCTACGAGAACAATATTTTTTCTCTTTATTGTTTGCATGATTTATGCATACCATAAATAAAGCTATTGAAACGAATTAAACAAGTCACTTTATTCAGACGCTTGATGCATCCTTATCCATATAATTGAAATAGAGAGAGTACAAAGGCACCAATAATTTTATAGAATGATTATTGTAACGTATCGACCCAAACTAGGTCTAATTTTAAACCATTAAAACACGCTATAAACGCAACTAACTTATTGTCCATCAATGCGGTGCATCCCTTATACCTCCAAATTCTTCCACACCACCCACACAGATTTCCAGAGAGCAGATCATTCACAACAGGGATATATTCTACGTAAGATGATTGAGTGAGTCAAAGTTCAGGAAGAAAATAAGAACATTTAAGAGAAACTAAATAATAAACCAGTTATGCGGATGACTTAAAACCAATGAGACGATGAGAGATTTGCTCGTGAGTCATGCAACAATTATTGAACCAGTGGTATTTCAACAATCAATGAAAAGCATCGAAACAAAATTGCACGAAAAAGTGTATTTACCATTTTTATTGCCACCTCCTGTCCCGTAATTGCTGATTTGGCTCGATAGACTTGAGCGAATCCGCCTCGACCAAGCAATTCGAATACATGAAAATCCTGACATGAAAATTAAAAAGTCATATTAATCAGTCAAATGAGTCAGTTAAAACATCTACCTAAGTGATAAACACTAATGCATATTCGAATAAAATATCCACTTACGGAAATCGAGTTTTCCGGATAATCCACATCCATGAGGCCGCGTGAGTACGCTCGTTTTAGGTAACTAATCCACTGAAAAACGCACACGTCTCACGAGGGACACAAAACACGGCACTAATCGTTCGAAAATTCACCGACTAATCCGAAACACGCTGTAACCAAGGTGACACGCGTCTCGACAACACGCGTAAACAAATCAATGAGTGAACGAATCAGGAGATGACGCAGCGGACGCTGAATACGGTCACACCGGAGCGAAGAGATGGACGAACAGACAGACAGAAAGGCACACCGACGTTTTGGGGACGAGTGATAAGTCACGTGCCAAGGAAACACCCACACTTAAGGCCAGTAGGAAAAGACCCCGGTGGTCACACCCGAAGTATTAGTAAAGATTCAGGTCAGAGAATGGGTGGATCCCGGAGGAATGCATGTTTTATTATGTGCGTTGGGATGGAAAGCCAATGGGATGGATGGAATTCCACCTCTTCCCTCATTGGATGTGAGTGACGGTGCATGGAGCAGGGAAAAAGCGGCACTCAAATGCGCTCGATGCTGATTGGTGGATTCATTCGGACGATCTATTACCGCAGTGAACCAGGATTGGCTAAAATTACGGTAGGAATAAGGTAGGGAGGGGGTTGAACATAGTTCAAAGTTCATTTGCAGTAGACCGAGTCTGAATTAGACGGGTAATGGGAATAGTGACTTTTGCCAAATTCACCCAAGTTATTCAGGTAACGAGACCATATGAAGGACAATTAAGTGATCGATGAAGCGCACAAAAGAAATTCTTATTATGCGTGAAACCGTTTACCCCGTTTGTGCTCAGCCCCCTCCCGTTTGCATTTTCATTGTTACTGGATTGGAATCATGCTCCTTCCTCAATGAAATTGAAAAATTGATCTAACGAATTCAATGGATTCACGCTTAAGACAGTGGTTGAAATATCGAATCAATTAAGTCAATTGAGAGCAGTGGAGTGTGATTTGATTGTATAGTCAATGTGGTCGAGTGGAGGGTAAACAAAACATGAAGGAAAAAGTGAGGGGGCACTGCGTAGCAGTTTCGACCTGATCGGGTCTTGTCAGCAGTGTGAATCTACCGACCCAACTGAGGATCGACCTCACAGGTAGAACGCAATCATACTACTCACTTGACCACCGAGCAGCTGATCAAACCGTTTTTCATTTTCCTTATACAAGATGTAGCGTAACCCATCTTTGCGAGCTTAACGCGGGCATCATTTCTCGTTCATTTCAGTACTAGCCTCCACGGTTGACTCGATTAGGAAAATTCCAAACCCGAGAGCAGGAGGAGAGTCGCTTCGATTCTATAGTAAATTTCGTCGTGTACAGAACAAATGAACTAAGAATCTAGGAAGCACGGTACATATTTTCCGACATGTTTAGAATGTATACAACTGAGTCACAACTCCGGAATTGCTGATTTGACCGGAGTGGGATGCTCGCAATAAACTTGTGATGAGGGTTTATGCTGTATCGTATACAGACAACAAGAAAAACAGTCAGACTAGTGGTCTGGTCGCCGAGTGGCTAATATTCCTGCATTCTATCTGTGAGTCCTGGGTTCGATCCCAAGTTGGATCGACGGATGCACACTGCTGATGAAACCAGATCAGGTTGGAGAACTGTTGACAAAGTATTGAAAATTGGCTCTCGTAGCTCGGGTGAACGTCATCAGTGTTTGCATTGATGATGTCACCTCGGATGGTGATGGAACGTTTGCAAACAAATTGCCAAGCTCGGCCATCAGGCGAAAAGGAATTCAGGTTGGAATAGTTATACAGTACTTCCTAGCTCTTCAGTTTACGCTACATTTGCTCCGTACACGACGAAATTCACCATACAATTAAGTTACTGCTGGAGATGATTGAACGGTGCACAGTGAACCAACTGGATTCCGGGTAGAAAGATTAGGTGATCATGTAAACTGCAGATAGATAGTAGACGTTGGCAAAACGAGTCAATCATGGTGATATGCCTCAAAATTTTCCTCTCTAGGCTCAGTAAGTAAATTTCCTGCTAGTATATGAAAATCGCTCTAACCCTCTTTCTGTCCTGTTGCACAATGAGTTGATGAAGTTTTTTGTGAAACGCACCATGAATTGTAATTCAGAACAATCCGTACAACGCATCAATTGAAAAAGTGAGACCGTCAAACGATCCTCACGGAAAAATCAAACACGGCTCTGTGCATGGACACAAAGTCACACAACAAGTCAGTGATTATATATATATATATGTATATATATATACAGGTGTTGACCAAACTCGTGCAACATCACCCTCATTTTGAAAACCCATTTCAGCTTGCAATAGC